TAAAAGTCGATTTTTATCGATTTTATCGATTCGTTGTTGCAGCCCTAAAATGGGGACCATAAAGGTAATAATTTAAAAAGTTTACTGATCGTTATTTACAAATGCATAAAGTCCATTCCTTATCCTTGTCACCATTACACAGTGGGAATAAACCCAGACCAGACTCTTGATGCATCCATCTGTCCGCCCTAGCATTATTTCTCTTGTAAATACCAATGAGGCTCCACTTAAGAATGAGCAGCGGCGCCCTCTAACAGACAGAGGTTAGAATATAACATTGAAGTTCTTTTTTTTTCTAAGCAGAAATTATCAATTAGCTGGATGAAATAAATCTATTGAATCATTAAACCGACACTTTATCAAAGTTGTTTAGATCCCTAATTCTACATATTCCCTATTAGGGAATGTAATCTTTTCAAAAAACACAATGGTTGTTACCCAACTATTAAAACTATTAGGCTTCTTAATTGGATCAATGTATTAGCTTTAACCTTTGCTAACGAGTTTCTATGTATAAGTATAAAAGGGATAAGATTTTGAGATAAACATTCAAGGGAAGAACAAGGCTCAGTGGTAGCACAGCATATGCAGAGCTTACAGGCCTTATCAATGCTGTCCCAGTTTTTAAATTTAAGCCACATGTCAAATGCTGCACGTCTTTCTATTCTCCGTCTACACTTCCTCTTGCCTAACTACTAATAAGACCACCACCAGTTTCACAACACTTTTAAAAGAAATGTAAAAATTATCATTTACATTTTTTCTATATTCCTCCTGAAATGGAAAGTGCATGAATAGTACCCGTGTAGTATTTAAAACAAAACTATAAAGCTCTTCACTCAACCACTCAATGGTAATAAGTATTTTTAAGATGTTCCCTGTTACCATTTATTATCTTCGTATTAAAAGCATAATGCTTTTGGCTGTACTGAGCCCAAAAAAGCTGTTCATCTGAAAGCTTTTAAACAAAAAAATACTGCTTTTTTGATCCCTTTTATTTTATTGCTCCTAAAAAGATTATTTTTATTTAATACCATAGTGTATTTTTTTTCTCTGAAAGAGAAAAGAGGTTAGAGCTTTTAAAACATACTGAGCTGTGTTCATGTTAAATACAACAGCTTGCAAAGATATTCATACCCCTTGAACCTTTCCACATTTTGTCACATTACAACCACAAACATAATAGAAATATTTAATTAGAATTTTATATAAAGAAGAAACACAACTTTACAAATAAGCAGAAAAAGGAGGCATGCAAAAGTATTTAGCCCTTTTCTCTGAGTGCAGCCAATCGCCTTCAAAGGTTTGCTGATGATTGCTAATGACTAAATAGAGTTCACCTGTGTGCAAACTAATCTCAGTACAAATACAGCTGTTCTGAGACGAAAATGATTATTTTCTTTTTATCTCATGAAGCACTGTTCAACACATCATCATGAAAAGAGAATGAAACAACTGCAAACCTATCAAGAAGAGGCCGTCTATCTAAACTAACAGGCCGAACAAGCCAAGAGGCCCTTGCAATCTACAGCTAAGAACATGGGAATCACAGGACAACTATTAGTCATTTAAAGGACAAATATAAAGAAAGCCACTATTAAAAGAAAGCCAAAAGAAGTCCTGTTAGCCAGAAGCCATTTTGGAGACAGCAAACGCAGAAGAAGGTGCTTTGCTCGGACAAGACCAAAAGGCCAAAACTCTACATGTGGTGGAGAACTAACACTGTACATCACTCTGAACACACCTTTCCCACTGTGAAATATGGTGGTGGCAGCATCATGCTCTGGGAGCGTTTCTCTTCAGCAGGGACAGGTCAGATGCTCAGAGATGATGGAAAGATGGATAGACTAAATGCAGGGCAATCTGCAAAAAAATCTGTTGGAGTCTGCAAAAGACCTGAGACTCTGGCAGAGATTATGCCACATATTCCTCTAACAGATATTCCTGTGTTAGAATTGCCCAATTAAAGTCTAAACCTATACCCCTGAGAATCTGTGGGAGGATCTGAAATGCTTTAGTTGTTTTACAAAAACTTGGCAAAAATTTCAGCCACGAAATGTGCAAAGCTGATACATATATCCCTTAAAAGACCTGCAGCTGCAACTGCAGCAAAAAGTGGTTCTAGAAGATATTGATATAGAGAGGCCGAATGCATTTACATTATTCAATTTTCAGCTTATTTGTAATAAAAAAAAAAAGGAAAAAATGTGACAAAACATGGAAAAGTTTGAGAAGAACAAATATTTTGGAAGCCATTGTATGTTTTATAGAGTAAAGCAATTTGATTACATAGTACAAAAACAAAATCACGGACTTATCACATGTCAGTGACCCCAAAACAGACTTCAGGCGAGGTTGGAGGTTTAACATCCAGTAGCACAACCCCACATATACAACTAAAGCTATGGTTTATATCCCAGCATATTCATAAGATAAAATGGCCTGGTCAAAATTCAGGCCAGTATACAAATTAGAAACTATGACCAATCAGACTGACCCTGAGCCCCTTTGCAGGCAAAAATAGTCAATTAAATAATGTTTCTACATGTACAAAGCTGACTCTGGGGGGTGCAAACTATATATATTCTGAAAAATTCCTAAATACATCCTTCTTAGTTGTTGTGTATCACATAAAATTACTACAAAATTTGATAGAGTTAAATATGAAATGGTGGAAAGTGAAAGGCTATGGATGTTTACTATATGTACCTTAGGTTTCTAAATGGATTTGGTTAGTTAAGTACTCTGGTTTACCTGTAAGTTCATGTTTCCCATCAGGGGAAGCATATGGTCATGCATTTTTCTTCTTTGACCTCCTCTAAAGTCTGCCATTCCATAGCCAGGGAAACCACCTCTTCCTCTCCCACCTCGTCCTCCTCCTCCTCCTCCCATTCCAGCTCCTCTGCCTCGCCCTCCATGACGGGTGTGTCTCTTCTGCCGCTCGTGTTCCTCAAACTCCAGCAAATCTTTCTTAGCCTTCTCTGAAAGCTCTGAAGTGATGTGAAGAATAATAATAAAAAAATAGCCTTTAATCTTTCAATGAGTAAAGAAAAAAATTCTCCATAAAAACAGCAGAGAAAAACCAAAACAAATGTATACCTAGAGTTTCAGGGATGTTCCTCCTCTTACTGCCGGCATCCGCCAGTCGTACGACGGCGCCTTCCTTCCTCTCAGATTTAAACCGTATTCTACCAGATTCTTCACCTTCATCATCCTCTTCGTCAGATTCCTCCTGTGTTTGTTCACCAGGAAGAGTCTCATTTTCAACCTGGAAACAATGCCGAAAAATTTATTTCAACAGTACCAGCCCTAAAATGTCCATAAGTTTACTTCACTGCATTTCAGAGTAACTGTGGTTTATTTCAAAGCTTTTGTGTACCAAATTCCAACTTAAAAAATTAACATGACTATTGAAAAGAGCCAGATTTTTCTAAAACTGATTAATCCCATCCAAATATTTAAGCTATCTCCATGTAGCTGTTTTAAAAAAACAAAAAAAAAAACAGATAAAGATTAAGAAGATACGTTTTGCTGCATAAATGGCTGTTAGCATTTAGTTCCTTTATGATCTGCTTAAAATTAAACTACCAGTTCCATCATAATAGTATTTACTTTTTTTATATGTTAATGCCTTTAAAGTCGTAGGAAAACGCTGTTCCAACCGTTGCATTTCCGAATTCTCTCGAGTGGCGCCCGAGCTTACAAGATTGAATGAAGTGAATGTGATTGGTCGTTTACCAAGAGGGTGGGATTGTTGTGGCGGAAGGTTCACAAGCAAGTTTGGTTGTTGTCGGTGTCTCGGAAGCATCTTGCTAACAAGTTAGCAACTTAGTGCTAGTAGGTTCCCAATGGGAAATTACATTGGGACCAAGTAGCACTTAGCAACGACACTGACAAGCAAAGCTATGGACAGCGGAAACATGCAAGAGGAGGAGAGTTTTGTGTTGGAGGTCGTGGATGATTCTCCTCCATTACAAGATTTTTATTTAGAGGAGGAAAGCGGGGACGAAGTTGTTGTGAAAGAGGATGCCAGGGCGGCAGAAGCTTGGTTTGGTGTAGAAGGCTTAAAGCCGTACATGTTTGAGCCCTTGCCTCGCAACGCTGCCAGTTCTGTTAGCTCTACGCCTGCTGAAGACACAGACGTCCATCCCCGTGAACACTGGGACAGAACTCAATGGCAAAGTAAATTATTCTTATTTCTTATTTCAACCGTTGCATATATTAGCCACGACATATCAATCAAGATGCTATGACCAAAAAAATTTGATTGACAAATGACCGTTGACAAATGATTAGCCGAATTTAGGTGTACAAGCTGACATATAACTAACTGGCCTGCATAAAATACCAAAAAACAAAAACAAACAAAAAAACACTGATTTTAAGACAGAACTTTTTTTTATAGAAATTTTCTTAATTTTGGGACAATATAGTCTGATAAAGAGTTCATTTAAATGCATATTTAAGCCAGAATGATCTGACATTTGAATATGATTTCTCTACATCTTTAAAAACAAACAAACCAAAATTGATATACGGTCATAATTAGGACCTTTGGGTCAGTTCTCAGAAAAAAAAAAAAAAAAAAAAAAAAACAGGATAAATGTTGGCCAGAAACAACCAGCAGAAATAACTAATGTTTCTCATGAGTTTCATTAAATTTAATTCAAAACTTTGATATCTTTTTAATGCCACTTTTATTTGAATTTAAAAGCAACTTTAATCATTCAAAGGAACTTAACTTTTAAACCTTAAAAACAAAAGGGGATTATCTCTGTGCCTGTTACATTTATGTTATAACTTCAAGTTTTACATCAAGGTCACCAAACTCAAAACCTATGTAAAGTTAATTGAAAACTTCACAACATTTACTGATAAAGGAGTTACTTAAATCCTCCTTGAAGCAAAAATATTAAACTTTTTTGATAGATGAAGACGCTATAATAAACAAGATAGCATGATAAGACAGTAACCCTTATATAAAACCTTTATACATAATCTGATCTTTACTAGGTATAGTTTCTTTACTGTATCTTTACTGTATTTTCAATAACTAAGGATTATATTATAAATCAATTAATCTGTGGATCCATTAATAATCGGACAGTCAATGGTTCCTTAAAGAAGAATTTTTTAGTAAATTAAACCAGGTAAAAAAAAACTTTTCCACTGTAAGAGTTCATTGACAATTTTTTTTATCTTAAATACAAAATGTTTTATATTTTTTCTACAATCCTGTTATAATTGCTTCTCTAAGTGGGTTGCTCTGTCAGCTAAAGGCATGTTTCAGAGTCCCTATACTCCAGTTAACGAATAATTGATTTCTAAATTAGTTGACAATTATTTCAATAATCGATTAATCACGATTAGTCCGCTTAATTGTTTCAGCCCTAATATTTTCACATAAATTCAGAAAGTACACACTATTTAGACACTTTTGTTTTAGAGTAATATCTGCATTATTTAATCTAAACAGAATGAAATCCATGCTGCTTCATTACAAAGAGCTATATTTAAGCTGATTTTTCAGAATATTTACAATTAATCTAAAATAAACAGTATTCGAAACAAAAGAAAATAAAATAATCTTCTCTCTAGGGGTCGGGAGAGGTGCTTTTTGCACCAATTTTTTTAATTTCTTTATGTTCAAAAATTACAAAGAAATTTATTTTTTTCACAGAAATGTTGGCAAAACTAAGCACACAAAATAAGCTGTATGTTACATAGTGTTAAATGTTACATTTCAACAGAATCAGAGCAGGCTAACCCTACCTCCTCTGTCTCATAGAACCGATGTTCCTCTGTAGGCTCTTCCTTTTCTTGCTGCTCTCTTACTGCTGCCTCTTCCTCCTGACTAGTTTCAGCTTCATTAAGAGGTTCATCACCATTGGATCTTTGGAATTCCTTAAGGGTAGACACACAAAGAAAATATCAGCTCTCTTTACTGATCAACGTTAAACCGACAATGCTTTGTAAATAATCACAATAGAATTCTGTGAAGGAGAAACCTAGCATGTGTTGTCTAGACGGGAGAATAAACAGAAGAATGAGCAAAGATAGATGAACGTTTGTTGAATTGCTGTATAATTTGCATATTATATATATAAAATCTTTGAGCCAACAGAGACAAACAAAAAAAACAAAAAAAAAAAGAGAAGAGAATGCAGACCAAAATGTTATGGTGAGGATTTGGAAGGCACCAGGGAGCCCCACCCCTTTCCAAAGGCGAATTACCATAACAGTGGGAGCAAGGCTTCATTACTATTCCTGACAGCATTTGAAATTCAATGAGATGTAAATGTTTGACATGATATACAGAAATGCAGCCACAGATAAAAACACACCTCGCCGCTTCAGTGATGGTGAAAATATCATTGACTGACTCCTCACAAATCACTCCGTTATTGGCTGAACTGTGAGTTCACGACTGCGTGGCAAAGGAGGCAAAACGTTCTAGGATGACAAATCTTTTCTCTCTTTTTTTTCTTCTTTTTATTTCCATAACTTTTCTATTCGGCTTTTGATTCGTTGCAATTTATTATTAGAAATTCAAAATAAACCACTCTGCTGTAGAGGTAAAATCTAACAGAGCTAGTAAAGCGATTCAGAATAACAAATATTAAGTGGTAAATAGGGTCAGATTGCAGGTCACACAACAGTGTTTTTCTGTTGTACCCCATTAACCTGCCAACCGGAACGCACATAAATACAGAGCATAAACACAAACTTGCAGAAAGGCAAACAAATGGACAGGCTGCCCCGAGAGAAGAGAGCATCTTAATCATTTAAACCATTCCACAAAATCCACAATGAATATCGGGGTGAGTAAAATGTCAAGGCCAGGTAGTTTGGTTATCTTGTAAACAGCAAAAACGCATCTATATCCACACATGCCCCAAAAGATTTAAAATAGACAGCCACTTTGGCTAAGAAGGTCAACATCTTATCTTTGTTTTGAAAGGGAAGGTAGGTTAATATATCTCTGTCAGGTGCCAAACACAACTGCAGCACGGTAAATGGAGCATAACAGACATTTGCACATGGATCCAGCCTTATCTTTGATCCTCTTAGCCCAGCCTAAGAGGAAAGGGAAAGGAATAAAAGAGAAACCAACATCAATCATTAGGAAACTGTATGGAGTGTCCTCAGGAAGGTCAATAATCTTTTCACCTTTGTGAGACTTTATCAGATCCAGCTTAAAAAGCCAGAGGGAGCAAAAAAAAGCCTCCCACATTAACCTCCGGCGATTGGCAGCACATCTCCCTGACACAAAGAGGCTTCACGCTGCTCTAAAGATACAGGGCCCAAGGTCACAATGGCAGCCAGATTTGAAGGCGACAGCAGAGCATTACTTCGCCCCAAACAAGCTGTCAACAAAACTTTGTCAGCAAGATGGAGAAATTTGCAGGCAGGAGACGATAATGATTTTAATCGTCCTCTGCCCAAAACCGCCAACAGATGTCTCCTTCTCCTGAATAGATTTTTTTTCATCTAGACTTCTCCCAAAGCGAGACGTTATCTCCAGGACACAATAGAGGTGGGGAGAAAAAGTGAAAGGGAGAACAGGTGAACGGGAGTATGTGTCCACACCCCTTATGCAGCAGCAATAAGCACATGTGAGAACTCACTTGAAATTCACCATCGATGGGTTCGCCGATTTCAATGTCTAGCACTTCGTACTGGTAGCCATCTTCGCCGCCAGCTGGCTCTCCACTGTAATCGATTTGGTCCATCTCTGTGTTGTGACCCTGGTTGTATTCCTCAGCATAGGCCTCTTCACCGTCCTGATTATAACCCTCCTCCTCTTCATAGCCCTCTGCACCCAGGTTCACGACATCATCTGTGTAGTCTGCTTCCTGCAAGCTGTCTTGCTGGTCATAGGAAGCACCCATGCTGTAGGCTGTATCCTGACCGCTGAGAAAAGAAAAAAATATTAATGAACCCTTAGAGCTGCTGCGACTTGTCATGCTAGTTAAGGACCCCAAGTAAAATAACAAGTCTACATCCATGTTTTCAGTTAACACATAATTAGTTATGAAATGAAGTTTTCAAAATGGTTAAAAGCGTTTTTGTGTTTTTACTCCTCTATTTTAACAGCTCCAGTCTGCCGGTGTTTAGTGAGCACGCTTAGTCTTCATCATTAGTCTAAAACATCCAAGCTTTTTTAGTTTCCTAAAGCCTAAGTTTTTTAAGGATATGGTACAATGATAGATTTGAAAAAAAAAATCATGACAGTAGCTCCTGCAAACAGGTAATATTGAAGATACTACAAATATGTAATCTCAGACAGGAACAATATAAATAGGTATTTTTACATTTTTGGACTAATCAGCACTGCACTATGGTTTTATTTCAGCCCAAGTTAAGCACATTCATCAAGACACTTTCAATACATGAAAAAACACTTTCATATATTGAAACACATGCATAAATAAAGTTAAGTTGATGAATAAAATTGTTAGTCTTCATTGTTCTATTTTTAGGTAAAGGGTTTAGGCTAAAATACATTTTTATAAACTTGTTGAAAGACTTTCTACCTGTATTTTTGTACTTCAATGCAGTTTTGTGTTGAAAAAATAAATTAAAAGCTTATAATATCTAAATGGAAATCAGTTTTAAATTTAAATTAGATAACATATATCAAAGGACGGGCAATAGTTACAACGATCCTGAACTTGAGCAAAAACAGAAAAAGAAAAATGGGAATATATTGCAAAAATGTACCTGACATTCAGGTCTTCATCATCACTTTGAAGAAGGTCATCATTCAACTCCTCATCTGACATTTCGGAGGGATTCTGAAATAAAAGCAAAAGAAAACATTCCAGTGGGACAATTTTTACCTGCGTACATGTTTATTCCTTTTGGTGTGCATCTGTTTGTGTAGAAGGCCTGGGGGCAGGTCACCTCCAACCCCTGAGGATGCTTTATTCCCATGTGGTGAAGGCAATCTGGGCAGGTCAACACTGGGCTTTTTTGTCCACTACATTTCCTCCTGTTTCACATCAACAGTTCCCCCTGCAGAGGAGCCACCTGCTACATGTCCAATCCTCACGACTATTCTCAACAATAATATTACCTAATGTTCTGGATATTACAATCCTGTTGTAAGCAGAAAATCCCAAACTTCCATTTAAGTTGTTTTAAAACCGAGCAAAATAAAACTACTGACAATCCAACATTACCTTTTTAGCAGACAGCCAGTCTTCCTCCAACAAATCTTCTTCCAAATCACTGGACAGCAGAAGAAAACAAATGTAGGGTGAACAAACAAACAAATACATAATGCTAATACAGTGGGTACGGAAAGTTTTCAGACCCCCTTACATTTTTTACTCTTTGTTTCATTGCAGCCATTTGCTAAAATCAAAAACATTTCTTTTAGTTCTCATTAATGTAAATTCAGCACCTTGACAGAAAAAAAACTGAAATTCTTTGCAAATGCATCAAAAAAGAATAACTGAAATATCAAATGGTGATAAGTATTCAGACCCTTTGCTGTGACACTCATATTTAACTTGCATGGTGTCCATTTCTTCTGAACCTGTTGTAGATGGATTGGACTTGATTAGGAAAGGCACACACCTGTCTATATAAAACCTTACAGCTCACAATGCATGCCAGAGCAAACGAAATTCAACAGGTCGAAGAAACTGCCCAAGGCACAGATCTGAAGTTTACAAAATAGTTTCTGCAGCACTCAAGGTTCCTAAGAGCACAGTGGCCTCCATTATCCTTAAATGGAAGAGGTTTAGGATGACCAGAACTCTTCCTAGACCTGGCTGTCCAGGCAAACTGAGCAATTGTGGAAGAGCCTTGGTGAGAGAGGTAAAGAAGAACCCAAAGATCCCTGTGACTGAGCTCCAGAGATGCAGTGGGGAGATGGGAGAAAGTTCCACAAAATTAGCTATCACTGCAGCCCTCCACCAGTCTTGGCTTTATGGCAGAGTGGCCTGACAGAAGCCTCTCCTAAGTGCAAGATATATGAAAGCCTGTATAGAGTTTGCCAAAAAACACATGAAGGACTCCCAGACTATGAGAGAGAAGATTCTCTGGTCTGATGAGGCCAAGATTGAACTTTTTGCTTCAATTAATTCTAAGTGGTATGTGTGAAGGAAACCAGGCACTGCTCATTGATTGCCCAATACGCAGTTAACAGTGAAACATGGTGGTGGCAGCATCATGCTATGGAGGTGTTTTTCAGCTACAGGGACTGGTTGCAATTGAAGGAAAGATGAATGTGATCAAGTACAGAGATATCCTGGAAGAAAACCTCTTCCAGAGAGCTCAGAACCTCGGACTGGACCAAAGGTTCACCTTCCAACAAGACAATGACCCCAAGCACACAGCTAATATAACAAAGGAGTGGCTTGGGAACAACTCTGTGACCATTCTTGACTGGCCCACCCAATTGAACATTTCTGAAGAGACCTGAAAATGGCTGTCCACCAACGCTCAACATCCAACCTGACAGAACGGGAGATGATCAGCAAGGTAGAATTGCAGAGGATCCCCAAATCCAAGTGTGAAAAACTTGTTGCATCATTCCCAAGAAGACTCATGGCTACATTAGCACAAAAGGATGCTTTGACTCAATACTGAGCAAAGGGTCTGAATACTTATGACGATGTGATATTTCAGTTTTTCTTTTTTGATAAATTTGCAAAAAATTCTACATTTTTGTTTTTTCTGTCAAGACAGAATGCTGAGTGTAAATCAATGAGAAACAAAATTAACTTTATTGATTTTAGCAAATGGCTACAATGGCACAAAGGGTGTAAATTTTAAAGGGATCTGAATATTTTCCGTGCCCACTGTAGGGCTGCTTTTAAAATACAATGTTAGCTTTGATGATTTTTGTGTCCCTTGCTGTTTGAAAATGAAAGTTATCCTGTAAAAGTCAAGTGTGTTGATACAGGAGGATCTCAGAGCACTGTAATTAAATGCTCATCTATAACACACAGTTTCTATGTTTACATCTTTAGTTGTTTCCCATTAAATGTAAAAATGACTCCTTTATAAATATCCAAAGAGTTTACAGAACACAAAGATGATAAATTCTGCAGTTTCAATTTTCTCAGGTAAACTAGACTTTAAGAAAGTCCTCTATTACTCTCCCTAAAACCATACCGCACTGTTATTTTGGGAATGTTCCAGTTGTTTTTTAACTGAAACGCCCCTGAAGGTTTGAATTCCTACTCCAAAGGTCAGCTGGACTGGTTCATACTCGACTTTGGCTTTCATGATGGCTGCTACTTGCATAACAGCAGTAAACTTTCCTACTTTGACTTGTTTTTAGCAGCTATTTCTTATTTAACTGACAGTCATACACATACAATTTTTAACTGTTGCATCTGTAAAAACTATCTACCAACTAGCTATCTACTGGAGACCAGGCATTGCTGTTATGCAAATAACTACAAACCATGGATGACGGATAAAGAATGATTGCCATAACTAAAAGACAAACCAAACAACCCAAATTTAATGTCTCAATGACTCAACTCATCTTTGCACACCTGACACTGAATTCTTAGCAACATTCAACAGCAGCAAATGTCTCATATACATCAAGACTGTTTTTAATCAAACAATAAAACACAGTTTTGTGGATCATTATAATGTAATGTTTTACCTCTCGAGACCATCAGCATCACCCCTTCTTCTGCGGGAACGCTCAGCACCAGGTTTGTCATATTCATCAAAGTTGAAATCTAAGAAAACAAAACAAACAAAAAAGTGTAAATTATAAATAGCATAAATATTACAAAGCAAAAATGAAATTAACCAGAATGGTTCTTTTTTGTTGAGCATTTTATTAGACTTTGGATCCAGTTATACAAGGTCCCTTTATTTCCGTTGAACCCTGCCAAAAGCGAAGCACATCCGATATTCCATAAAGAAGTCAACAAGCAAACAGCTGAGGGTTGATACAATTCATCCTGATTAATTGATTACCGTATTTTCACGACTATAAGGTGCACATAAACGTCTTTTTTTTTTCCTCATGTGTGTTGCAACTGCGACTTTTGAGACCACCTCATTGAGGAGATGATGAA